TAAATGCTTTAACGCATCATGAAAACGCTGGATGATTTGCCATCGAAAGTTCTTTGGCACTATGACGCGACTGTAAGTCTTTCCGTTCAACTGAAAATTTTGTACAGCAAATTATCTTTTATCGTGAATGTTGATCGCAAAGTAGCATCAATCGTATCGTTTTCGATTGATTCAATCGTTTGACCAACATGTTTGATTGCTTTGAACACAGCAAGCGTTTCAAGCTCAAAGCTGTGATACCTGCTTTCTACATCGGTTATTCGCTGACTAACGGCATTTTCAGGTATTCCCAGACCCCGTCTGGCGTTATGAATGCGGTATTTTCAACAGACTGAGGTGCCATCGGGATCTGGTGAAATCCAGAGGCCATATCAAGACACGTAAAATAATTAGACTATCCTAGCATCTATTTGTTCAGATATGAGAGGTAAGGGGTAACTATCACGGACTGTGTTTGAGTTTAACTCCCTATAATCGACACAGCCGATCGGACCCGTCCTTTTTCTTGACGAGCAGGACAGGGCTCGAAAATGGAGATGAACTTTCGCGAATAATACCCTTAGACTTTAAATCGACTGTTATACCCCGAAGCGAGGTGCGTTCAGCGGGTGCTAAGCGATAGGGATGACGCTGGACAATTTTGTCTGGAACAAAACTAGTCTTAAATTCATGTATGATTTGTGCAAGTTTATTTTTGTGTTCAGTTAGAGTCAAATCAGTGTCAATATTATTAATGTCAAAATCAGGTATCGTTTTAGTAGTATCCGTAATAACAAAAACTTCGCGCGTGATGTTTAATCCCAGACTGTTGAGTTTCAATTCTAAACCAGTACTCTTAAAATTTTCCCTACCTAGGATAACATCGTAAGGCAAGGAATCTGTGATATGAAAGGTAACTTCAGCATGGATCCCATCATACACTTCTACATTTGTAGTTACTTTTTGAAAGGAGTAACACGAAGCAAAGCCAATACCCGTGAGGCGGGCGAACTAGAATTCTCTTTTGTCCGGTATACAATCAGCAATAGCAGTCTTAATTAAAGAGCATTCGGCACCGGTATCTAACAACGCTTGTAATTTATAATCATTAATTTTGATTTCAATTAATGAATCATCTGGATTTGAACAAAATATTGATCTATTTTACGGGCGGCTTTGTCGCGTTAGATAATCTTTCATCACGCTGTTTAGTAAAACACACTTGATCGTTATGTCCGGGTTTGTTACAGTATGAGCAAGTAGTAACAGGTTTTGCAACAGAGTTCTCATTAGAAGATTGAAGTGGTTTATTGGGCTCGCGTTTTTTCTGATTACGCAACAACGCACAATGACGCATTAAATGACCGGGTTTATCACAATGATGACAACGTCTTTCAGCTGGCTTGTCATAAGAATTTATTTGTTTTGGCTGTGACACATCACATTGAACGCGGAGGTTATTATCAGAGAACCTCTTTATATTTTTAATTTTGGGATACGTACTCAAGTGACGGTCAAATGTAATAAAATCAATAGGAGTATTTTTAAGTAACTGTGATCGTACCTGGTAGTCGGTTATGCCCGAGATGACAACTTCAATCTTATTTTGTTCACTCCAACCGCTCTCAAGCCTATCAATCATAGCTAATTTATTGGTAGAATATTCTACGTATGTAATCGCTTGATCACTAGTATAGTTTACCATGTCACGGAACAAATCATGGAACCGTTTTGTAGCCGCAAACTGCCGTGTAAGTCGCTCCTTAAGATCCTCCCATGTTTTACATAGAGGATAAGAATGGGTTGCCCACTTCTTCGCACGTCCTTGTAAATGCGTGAACGCGGCATTTCTAGTCTCATAGTCCGACCAAGAATTATTATTACGATGCTGTTCAATTTCCACACACCACTGAACAATAGAAAATTGACTTTCATCAGGGTCAAATGGCGGCAAATAAATATCACTTACTTGTAGTTTGCGCTGCGTAAACTGAGCACCACTTGATGAGGACGCCGCCATCATATTTTTGAGGAAAGTCACCCATACATCCTGCTGAGGCGGTGCCGGCGGAGGCGGCATCTTCTCAGCGGCGGGAGGAACGCCCCGGTGCGCCGCAAACTCCGCCGTGAAATATCCCTCGGTCTGCGCGGCCGATGCTGCGGGAGGCTCGCCGGAAACAAATGGGAGCGATGCTGCGGGAGGCTCGCCGGAAACAGATAGGAGCGATGCTGCGGGAGGCTCGCCGGAAACAGATGGGAGCAATCCCACCGCTGCTGTCGTGGATGATTTTGGATTTGGTTCGCCATCAGTCGTCTCGTTGTCGGCCATATTGTTAGCTAGGAAAAGTCAGCACGCACAACCGGCGCAGGCGAAGATTCACGTAGAAGTGATCGACGCACCACTGACATTTCAATAGATAAAACCATAGAGTCATAGACAACCATTTTCATAGTTTCTTTCTAGACCACAGACTAAGGCCATAGACTAAAACCATAGACTAATTCCACAGTCTAAGACCACAGACTAGGACTATAGACTAAGACCACACAGACTCCAAGTCCCGTGTGTCCCCCCATTGAATCAATCTCGTCAGACGAACGTGCCAATCACCTTCAATCTTGAGGCGACATGACACTCAACTGTCAATGTTACATTTGATAGATAACAATAATATTTACTTACAAGTTTAAATGATTCTCCGACATATATAAACAGTCCTCTTCAATCACTCTATTTACAAAAAACAACCGCATTAATATCAGTTGCGTAGTTTTCATAGGGATATATGGGCGTTTTTAATATTTAAGCATTCATTGGAATACAGGGAAAGAGAAAGCGACTTTGTTTATACTATTTAGTGATACCGTTTTAATATTGGTTGAGGAATTAATTTAATATTTCAACGTAGCCAAATAAAAACTTTTTTTATATACCCGTATTGAATTATGATTATTCTGGTTAAGGAAAATAAGATTTTTTTCTGTTTTGTGTTTAGGTAGCGCCTGCGAATAGTTTAGTGACATGTGTTTGATTTAGGATTTGCTCATTACATTCCACAGGCGTTTTGGTTAAGCCTTGATAACCTTAAAGTTTTTTATTAAAACATGCACCTACAACGACTTATTAAGTGCTTAAAAAAGATTTACTGGATATTAATATATGACTATACATATAATTTAGTTGAGACAATCAATCAAATTTGTACGACAAGATTTAACAAGGCAAGTGACGATACGAATCCCCGAATACGAGTTCCCTCGAAGATTTTTGCTCAAATAAATATAAGCCTTATTCTGAACAACATTTACAGGATAAACATGATATTGCAGTTGCATTTGCGACTAAAAATACGTATAATACTTGTACAAATAGTTAACTCAAGTAGCATAATTAAATCTTGTTGGATTATAAATAATTGTGATTTTATTACAATCTAGTCATGAACCAATAAATAGCGTAATCGTGAGACAAGCCTCTCTATAACCACTTGAATGTATTTTTAAGTTTTACCCTTTGTATAAATCTAAACAAAAGTTTAACTTGTAATTTAGTTATTGTGTAGTGTTTTAGTTGATTGATTACATAATACATTAGTAAGTTACGATTTACGAAGATGTGTGACTAACTTCGTTTGCGCCCGTAGTCAGTTAGAGTCTGACACTCTCTCTCATCTCGGGCGAGAGAAGCCACCAAAAGCTTCTCTAGTTCCTCACGTTAAACCAGCACTGTCTAATTCAGCATCCACTGGCTCTCCGTGATGCCTGTCGTTTCATAACTGACATATGTATTATACATATAAATATTTTCTATAAAAATACAGTTTACAAGTCAATTAAATTTACTTTTAAGTGCATTGTGGTTAAATATAGCCCGATCCATGATCTTAAATTACAAATAAATAATAAAAGAAAATTATTCAGTATATCCGCGTGGAACCTTATTTCTCAGAAATAATAATTATATAATATTGTTAATCTTGATCAGATAGGTGAACGGTTAGGGTCAGTGACCTTCCAAGGTTTCACGGAAGTGAAGGTACCATCGACCCTTAAATTGAGAGCAGGCATATATTAAAATTAAAAAAAAAATTAAAACCCTGTTGAGCGAAATCAATTATGATCATAAAATAATGTATTCAATGTGCATTTAAGAGTGGGAGAGCCATACTTTCGCACGGACGGCCCGTGTGATACTGAGTGATACCACGGCATCAATCGAGTATAGGTATATGTATATCACGAGATTAGAGTTTACAGCACAATGAAAACATAAAAATGCATTATGAACCTAAAATTAGACAACAATAAACAGAATACAGTACTTGCTGCATCCAAAATACTTGTAATAAATTACTTCACAAACTAAATATCTTTGAATTCTCGTAGTTATTTCGACTTGAAGCACCCGCTTCTTATGCAAGAGAGGGTCCGAAATAAGTACTTACAAGTAACAACAGTACCAACTTAAACTTCTGTTAATAGTCTACATAACTTAATAAAACTACCTAGGTACATTTAGAACGAGGAGAAATCTAGGTCACCTAATATCCTGAACTATGTTACGTATCGCCGGAAAAATGTTCCGACTGTAATTACCAGTTATGCTAAATATGTAGCAATAGGATGCGCACGCGCGTGCCTTCGTGCCTATTGGATATACATGAGGAGATGTAATCGGGCATACATCCTCGCGTGCTTTAGAATAATGTTATTATGCTTATTAAAGGAAATTTTGTTAATTAGGTTATTTAAATTAGGTACATATGAAAATGTATGCTGTAAAATATTTATGGTCTAGGTTTTATTTTTAAAATAAGCCTGATAAGCTAAATCTTAATAAACCTATAATAATGACCTCTTACAAACATACTTTATACTACGTAGATACTTTAATCATATTCAAGCATCAGTCTTCGGCGATGCAATCAATTATATTGTTTAAAGATCTCACTCTATCGTTTATGTTTTATAACTAATTACACTTATAACTCTAATGAAGTAATTTTTTTTTTGTTTTACAGAAATCGTGCAACCAACCTGCGTGCTAGAGTCAGATTTCGGCTTCAAAATAAACTGCGCCTTCAAAAAATCTGGCCTGTTCAGAGTACGGAATCTTGGTGGCATCAAAGCACATGCTAGTTTAGGTAAGTTTTCTTTATAATTTTCCATTTAGATCTTTTTTGGATTCAATCACCAGAATGGGCATAACAAAATTGAAATTTTCTAATATAAAGTTAAAGTTCGGCATAGAGTTGTGGTGGCTAACATTCCTTTGTACGATAATTTTTGTAGTAAACTTTTATTATTTTGTATAAAAATCAATATAAACTTAGTACATTCTGTTATTAATACAACAACACCTTATTAATAAGCAACGTACAATACAAGCAATGAATAAATGAAATAAGCTGAAAGCCATTAAAATAAAACCATGCATCATTAGTAGTCGACTCATGACGGACGTCACCGCTTAATGGTCAAACATGACCATGCCCTATGAATGAAAAACTCATTTACATACAAACGCAATGTTTCTCTTACCAAGAAATAGTCATGAATGGTTTTCATGCGTGTGGGAGAGCCAGAAAGTTCGGCTCGACCGGAGTGATACTACAGCTTCACAGAAAACCGGGATGAAACAACCGCAGAGTTGTGTTTCGCCGTGTAACCTCGATCGGTTATCGGAGAAGTTCTAATATTGTGCTTACCTTTCGAAAAAACACAAGAGTTTATTTGGTTATTTAACTTTATATCACAACAGCAAGTAAATACTAAGCTAAGCCCCACTAAACCATTGTAACGGTTTGACTGTGGGGTCAATGAGTATGTATGTCATAATTATGTCATACTCAACTCCTTATAGAGCATTTGTGAATTAAATACCAGGAAAATTTGACCCCACCTGACAGTTTCTGCTGAGCAATCTATCAATTATCTTTAAAATATGAATGATGTTTGTTTTTATCTAAAACTACAATCACTTAGAATGTTATCTCCTAGATTCTTCAGACACCTGTCTGCATTGCCTAATCTAATGAGCAGACCTCGGACATTGAAGGTCAAAAACAATGGTTTAAACAATCTTCACCGCTCATGGTCAGTTCAAATCTAGTAAAAGTATTAAACATTACTGATGCATTGATGAACTAACTTTTGGGGCAATTACCCTTTTATAGGGTGTCTTTTGGCAAGTCATAGTATTTGCCCTTATTGTTTAGCTGATTTAACTATCGTTAATCTATTTAGCTATACCTCGGCCTCATGGCAAACTGGCGAGACAGAACGTTTGCGTTTTGTTGCTCCATGTAATGTTACCCACCCCCTAAATCCTCAAATTGCCAGTCCCTCAAAGGCGCACTTGTACGTATAAAAAACACTTAATTTGTTATCTAATTGATCTTTTGACAATTCCAGGTTTCAGTCTTGGTGATGAGTTGGGCTTCGAGCAGTCCCTTACAAACTTGGACCCCAGCAGACGGCGATCTGTCAGTGTGAAGAATGGTCCACCTGCTAACGTGCTTGCTGACCCATCGAGGACGAACGTTAAGCAGGAGGTAAGATAACATGTGTCTTTGAGTTGGCATAAATGCTCTTCAAGGGATGAGATTTCATACCGGCATTTTTGTAATTTGTCATAGTATTCAATAACCAAGATTGTATTGGATTTACGCCATTCAGAATTTCAACATTTCACCGCGATTTTCGCTTCTAAAACGATGAGCTAATCCATCTTAATATAACTAGACTCATTAATTTCAATTATGATTGCAACACTACAACCTGTGAGCCAAAAACTCACGATTTATAAAACAATCACGATAAAAATAACTGTTATTAACTTGCAGAGTGGTACTTTGTCTGAAAACTTGTTTCTGGTCCATTGTATTTACCTTTAGTAAATGACTTTGGTTAGCTGAACTCACGTATTTTTTAGTTTAGAGTTATAGCTTGATCGACGTAAAACTTTTATAATATTTTAGTAGAGTTTGTCATTTTTATCCTGCTATCATCTACGTAACAAGAACTCTACTTATAATTTTAAATGTCTGATTCTAGAAACGTGGCAAACAGAACCGTATCATGCGCCCGGTGGCTCCTGCTAACCGCCCCAACCAATCTGCAATGGATAAGCTGACCAGCTTGCATCGTCGAGTTTCTTCCACCATGCAGCCCATCATTGTCCAGGCTCCAGTAGAACAAACAATAGCCAAACCTGTCCCTACCGTTACCATGGCCAAACCTATGCCCATGGGAATACCAGCCTTCAAACCACTACCGCCAAAAGAAGAAACCCTTGCCGTCCTACCGATAGCATCCACAAGGAAGTCCTACACACCACTGCAAGTCCCACAATCCAAGGGCCCAGGACTCGCATACCAAAGTGAGATATATCCATCACACAACCAAATATCAAAAATGGTTTCACAAATGACAGCAGAACAGTTTTCCCCAGTCAAGTTCACACAGAGTCCCGTCATTGTAGAGCATCCAAAACTTTACTCCATCACTACTGTTAATCCATTTGTACCTATGCCCCCTTCTCAAGCTATATCTCTTATACCTGCTCCAGCTTTCAAAGAAATACAAAGACAACCCTACTCACCTAACTCTATTATCCAAAAACATCCTCTTTCTAACTTTGTAGACCCAGTTCCCCATCAAGTCCACGATATTGCGAACAACGCTGTTTATAACACGAAGAAAGTCGACGATTACAATTCTATAACTGGTTACGGAGATGACACTGTGTTGAAAATTAATAAAGAAGAGATTAACTCGAAGATAGCAGAGATTGCTAAGGCCGGTAATATATCTATGGAGGCAGTAGAAGCAGCGATAGCATTGAGGCAACAGCAGTTGTTGAGTAAATACGCAAACATTCCGGCTCCAATACCCGCGCCTTCCACCACGTCGTCCACAACAAGCACGACGACAGAACAGCCGTTCGTGTTCCAGCAGGAACCCGAACCAGAAATATTGACTGCAGCAATACCACAGAAGCCGCCGAAGAGGTCTGTATATTCCCAAGCATCTGTAATACGAGATGATAGTAGGAATAATTTAATACATTTTTCGTCTAGGTCAGGAAAACCTTGGTGTCGAGGTATGATAGAAGTAATAACATTACTACAGCTTGGCAGCACAGTATTAAATTGCTTTCGTGCTTCATTCACAAAATGCACGCTACACGACCGGCATCATAAAAATATCTTCAAAAAACAATATTAAACTTGTCGCTTTTCGGAAACGCTTCTTGTATTTTTATAGTTTTCCATTAACATCCAGTCCTTTCGATTTTGAGTTATGTTATTAATTCCACGTATAAGATAAAGACCTCCAAACCAACTATTGAGCGTCTAATACTCAAGAGGAATCATAAGCACTATTCAGCTATAAATACCAAATCGATTCAATACTTACTTTACAATGTGTCATAAATTTCCAGAACTCCTATATCTGGCAAGGTAATGAATGCTCCTCGTGAGTATTATCCTGTCGGTTATGAGAAGAACTTCGACGACCACTTCCAGTCCAAGGTAGATCTTCCGGAGACCAACTTCCACTGTGGTGACCAGAAGTACTTCCCTGGATTGTATGGAGACGAGAGTCTTGGGTGTATGGTAAGTTAAAGTTGCAGTTTTCAAAGATATAGTCAGAATGGTCTCGACATTTGTCGACTAAGGGACTATTTAACACAGATTGGGTAACAGCGCTCTCCGATATACATACGTCCATGCTCCTAGATAATCCGGATAATTGCGATCCAAACCTGCTATCCATACGTGTAGATTAAAGCAAATACCCCTTTTGTAAAGCAGACTAAAGTCCAACAATGAGGACGGATGGTTTTTTTATAGTTTATTCATAAATTTTCAACATTGGGTGGTATCTTACAACTTAGGAGAGGGGCGTAAATAATAATTATGACATTATGTACTTAACTTTTAGGTACTCCACACAGTGATGTATACATAGTTACATGAAAAATTTGATAATAAAAAAGAACTATTCACTCAATTGAATACTTCCACTATGAAAACCGTCAGTTTGGTCAATAACTCATCATCAATCATCTACAAAAAGAACAAACATTTCACTTAAAGGTTGGCGTGGGTCCGATTTCCGTTCGAAACAATTCTTTAAATCATCCACAAAGTGTTATTCTGAGTCCAGTATCAATGTACATCTATGAACGCACTGTTAAAAAATAAACTATAATATTTTATTTATAACTTCCAGGTGTTCCACGTCTGCGCTCTGACAGACGATGGTCTCGTCATGAAATCCTTCCTCTGTCCTGAATCCACGCTCTTCGATCAGACCATCCTCAAATGCAACTGGTGGTTCTACGTAGACTGCAAGAATACGAAGAAACTGTATGACACTAATATACCAGTCTCCAAGAGCTACCAGTTGATGAAGGCACTCACTTTCTTCTCATCATACAAGAAAGAGATGCAAGATGGTAAGCTTTGATCATATTTTAATCATTATTACACGTAGTATTTTGTTCGTACTCACATAAATACAAATATCAATTTTCAGGTCAAAAGACTAACCCAGAAGATGTAGATGGTATTAAAGAAGCTATATCCATCCTTCAGAATCAGGATACTTCGCGTCCAAATGCACCTGTTCAAACTAACGCAGGCGTTAGCTTCCCTAATGCACCAAGCGTTTCTAACACAGGCAGTACACAAAATACTGCTAGTTCATCTAGCCACATACAATTCATCACTCCCACTCCAATCATTGATGAAAGGAATAAGAAAACTACAACTGAAACAGCCCCTGTATATAGAGGCAATAGGAACCTAAATGCAACAAGAAACTTTAAAAAGAATTCATCCTCCGCAGAAAATACTTCAGATATCAAACTTATAACTGTTAACGCTGATATAAATATAGCCAATGGTAATGTTACTGAGAACGATTCAAGGGAAAGAAAGCATAGAAGAAGAATGACTTTGAGAAATACTTCTATAGCTCAACCCACAACTACTAGCACGACGACTACAAGCACTACAACAAGCACAACACAGAAACCTACAACCACAACACCTAGCATAGAAATAATCAAAGTAGATATACAACCAATAGAAAACATACAAAGGCAAGAAAAACTGACCGACCAAATTGAAGACGTCAATCCAAACACAGCGAATTCAGCTCCAGTCAGACGTTTCTACCGGTCCAGTGCAGAGAAATTTGAAGATAAAGAAATGGCTATAGTGAATAATGAGAAAGTACAGATTGTAAGACCATCATCACATTCAAGATTAGTAGGACATTATCCAACGCCTAGTGCGACCATAGCAAAATTAGATGAAGCCGTGCTAGGAAAAATAAGGACGAAAAAACAGGCAATAGCAATAGTGACGCCTGAAAAACACAGTCCGGAAACGTAGTCCGAAATTAGTCAATTAATAAGTGTCATAAGTAAGTTATTTATTTCGCCGATACGTGTGGACATGTATTTGCTCAATTTTTGTACTTTAATAGTCTAGTTGAATGGAGTCAAGTGATATTACGGTGTATGTTAGTTGTTTAGTAAATTTTCCTAATTTCTTTGTGTGTTTTATTTTTTTGGTTATTGAGTTTTTGTCATTTTTCCAAGAGAAACTTTCCACCGCGTTTTTTCTCGGGCAATGTGCATTGGATGCTTAAAAAAACATCAGTAATTGCTACACGGTCGGCACTGATGATGTTTCTGATTCTGCGGGAGTATCTTAAGCTACGGTGTCCGCTTTCCAGGAATTAACCTTTAAACTTTGATTTTTGTTAATAAAGAGTAACAAACTTCAGAAAAATTGCTCTACACCTAGCGGTATGTAGCAAACTATACATGCTGTTTTTTAGCTTACGCCAAGACCAGCTTTTGTTTGCGTTTTCATCCACGCGGATAATTATGCAGGTCTGTCAGAATTAAGGATCCACATCAGATTTTTAAAAAAGGATTTGGCCATTATTATTCTAGTAGCAATGTAGCCTATTTTGCATTATGTCAGACTCTTACTGACTAAAAAATCGCCCGATACTTCTCCTGCTTTAGGCCGAGGCCGCAGTGAGTTATTGCGCTTGCCCCGTAACTCCGGCTAGACAACCCTTGTTATTAAGACCAAGTCGAATACTTGTCGAATAAGAGTTCCTGCCAAGAGTAATGATAGATTCGCCATCAGCTCAAAAACAGCTCCCAGAAAATTAAATGTTCCTCGATATCATTTAGTAAACTGGCTAATGAATATACTATTCAATTAATGGTTTAGCCTGTTGCTGTAGCCAGTATGTTGCTTTTTTTGTGAGGAGAAAATCATCAAAAGACTTCTCACGCCTAGGGAAAGGCGGGAGCGCTCTTTGCCCACCGTACACCTCGTGAGACTACCTAGGTGTGCAGCGGGAAGTTTTTTTTACTACTGTTCACCTTGGTTCACCTGGGTGTACCGTGGGAAATATAAAATTTCCATCCACTTTATTATCAAAACTATATCTGAAGAGCAAAGAGATTAACACGTTAACCGCCGCGTAGGTCACCGGTGACCTACGGTAGCGGAGGGTTTGCCTTCAATAGTTTTCGGTCGGTAGTCAAAGGCTTAATGATTAAAACATATTATGCATTACAATATTCTCCTCTGTCTTCTACTGTTTGTAAACAGGAGCCACGAAGTGGTAATTTGAGTTCAGGAAAAAGATAGAATTCGGCTGAACCCATATCTGGCGAATATGGTGGCTGCTCGATGGTATTTGTTGAGTTTTAGGTCACAATGATGGCCTTGTACGAAGGCATGCCTTCGCACATGGCCACCGGAGCAGTAGAAGATATGGGTCCAGCCAAATTCTATCTTTTTCCTGAACTCAAATTACCACTTCATGGCACCCGTTTCAGTTTCAGTAAAATAAATATTAATAAAATTGCATGCCTTCAGGCAGATTATGGAGATACCTTTCATTGTATCCATGTTACTACCCATTTTCGCATTAAATGAGTTTGAGTTTACATAATGAAAGAAATTTTAATTACATTTCGAGATTTCTAGTAGGTACTTATATTTAACACTCAGATAATATTTTAAACTATTTAAATGAAACAAATATCTTGTGTTATAAAATATGAAAGAACATTTTATTGCCCATAGGTACCGAATCTGAGATAACTATCAAACATTCTTACAATTTAACATCCAAATGTTTGCGTAGGTATTTGTTTACTTCTTTGATTTAGCGTAACAACCTAACAGTTTTTCACAAAGTATGGGTCCGAAAACGATGATGCCAGCCGCCGCTACCGCGGTCGCACAACTCATACAAATCATATTGAAAACCCTTTCCAACCTTTCAGTCTTGAAGCGAAGTCCTGAATTTATGAACCTTAATAATATCTGTTAAGTTACTGCAGTATAAGCTTTATCGGTATACGATTAGAGCATTTCTGTGCAACTGAGCAACTGGTTATAGATCAGAAGGTTCAAAATTCAATGCTCTTTACAATAAATAATATAAAAGCCTTTAAAACTTGTTGGTACCAAAAACTTGTTTCGGCTTAGTTAAATCTAAAGTTGTCAAAGTTATATATCACAATCAGAACGGCATGCCACAGTCAGGGCAAATAGGTACTGCAGGACATGTGCATTTACTTTGGAAGAATGTGCGCGACCAGTATGGTACGCAGATAATAAGGGCTGCAGCACTAACTAAACTCAGCAAAGATATGCAAATCATGCATCCGAACAATTCACCACCCTCTGAAACAAGAGAAACACGATGAAGTAGCTATGCTAATTATACTACAAATACCGTAAAACAGGGTGAATGTACTGGGACATGAGAAATTGTTTTAGCCTTCTTATCCCTAAGCGGGAATTGGCCGTTGCTCACCACTGATCCCTGCGCTATCGCCTCCGTTGTGCTTTCAACGCTCAAAATCCTAAACAGCCACAAGTGTGATCTATCTCACCAACTTTACCACAAAATTATTAATCTGTTTTAGACTTCAAGTTTTCTTAGAAGTCAAATGAGAAAATGTATGGACTTAAGATTTTATTACCATTTATTACAATTATAGATTTGGGACCAGTTTCCGCTAGGTAACAAATGGGCAAGTTCTATTTCACCCCTAATCTATTCACCCTGTTTTGCCGTTACGAAGATTAACATTAAAATTCTAAATTGAAGTACTCGCTTTATAATTGTAAAAGTATACGAAACTATATCGAAATAAGACAATCATAATATTTTCAAAATATTTCTTAATCATACTTGCGATGTTTTCGTTTTTGATTGCAGGATAATCATAGTATAATGCTCATTATAAATCTTCAAATACAGATATCTGATTCAAAAGTTAAATTTCTTATCTGATATAGAAATAAAAGAAACAAATACTTTCAGGGATATCAATTTATTACACTACAATTAATTTAATACATCACAAAATTACAGACAACAGCATAGCACATTATCGTTTACTTTTAATGAAGCATTTTAGGACCTTGTCGCAGACTATGGGTCCGCAGGCGATACAGGTAGCTGCCAGGACGGCCGTAGCGCAACTCATGCAAATCATTGTGAATAGGCAAGGATTGACCACTTCAAAAAATAATATTCCACCCCTACTAAGTCTGACAGCTTACTTTAGCTTTCAAAGCTCAATTAGACGCGTTCCCGGCGGTTTTATATTACTACTACCGCTAGCCAGCAATTTCGATGCACACAAGCAACGATTATGCAGCCAAAAGTGATGAGCACAAACTCCCAAAAGTCTCAGCAATATTGCCGCACCAATGAAGTTCAGAAGCGATAAACAAATCATTGGCTCTGAAACAAAAGAAATTTATATATAAAAGCGGGATACAAAAACAAACAAATTGATATAAATATATAAATAACTGGATGGACTTAACGTTAGTGTTAGGTAGAATGACGCTTCTGTTTAAGTTGACACAAGGTTATATTATTTAAATATTTAATCAAGCTTTCGAAGCTAACAATCAAACTATATCTAAACTAAAAATAAAACGATGGAACGGTATTTAATTTAAAAGTATAATTCATTATGTAAACAGTAGGGTACAAAACATTGTATTAGACGAGTAGCTTTCGTACAGTCAACATGGGGGTTTTTTGCTTTTGTTAGTTATAGAACATAATATTCTCTCACATATTAGAGGTCCAAATACAATGAGTCCCAACAAAGAGACGAAGGCACCACAACTGATGCAAACCATCTTGGTGTCTGATATACCTCTTGCAAAATATATCTAATCAAACAGTTTGAAGCGAATCTTCTATTACCGCGGCATACCACAGCTTTTGCAGGTTTTGTTTCTATCTTGGATGAATTTGGTGCCAACTTTGAAACAACAAGCGATGAGAACAACACCAACGATGATAGCACACCCCGGAGCACACAACATGAGTTCTGAAACAAAAATCGAAGTAATTTTGGAAAACGATAGGAACTTACAAAAAATAAAGAATTATGCTTATCTGGACTCTTGTTGGTATTTCTTCTATAGCTGGAAGGTACTCCGCCAAGTTTCATCACTGAACTTGTCAAAAGACATTGTTCTCATGTCAGTACTACCCGGCGAATTAAAAACATGTTTTTCATACTACGAATGTTTTTTGTCAAATTTACAGCCGCGCAACTTGTAGTAAGAGGTCTTGTGGTGGGTGGTACTTACATGCAAAAGCCAACGATTCCTTGATAAGGCACGAAAATTTTGCTATCATTTGTATAAATTAAACGCCAAACGATAACCCCGATATCAAGATTATCTTAGCGATATTCCACAAAAATTTTACATGCATATTGTTTTTACTATTAATTTATTCACATGAAAATTTTCGCTCGAATTTGACACATTGCATAGAAATTTCCTCACGTTACATAGAAGCATTACCACATTTTCTAAATTTGAAATTTCTTCATAAAACTCTTCCTTTGTCAATGGGTTTAGAAGAGGTTTGTTTTTTGAGGATAATAACAACCTTTTTGCTTAGGCACCTGGTGACCAGCAAAAGTTTACAGTACCGACAGCAATGTATTGTTTTCATCAGGTGGAAGCAGAATATGTAAGTTTCCAAAAGAAATTTGAAATGGATTGATGGTGTTTGGCAGGCGTATAAGGTGACCTACGTGAGTGACGACTGCGTGTTTTAGTTAGTTAGTTTTGAAAGACAGAAATACTTACGCTACAACAACAAATCAATTGTTGGCGTTGCGTTTCGGCTTTACGAACAAAAACTTAATGTAGCCAGCGTAAAGTAAATTTTATTGAACACCAAGACGATCACAAAAATCCGAACATCTCAATGATTTTGGAGCACATGTTTGAACAATATGCAGCTGCAGCTGTGTTGTTGCTTTAAGGCTAAAAAAAACGAATACGTCGCTGGTGCTTTTGACTTTCTATATAGCGCAAAAACTCGCTGATTCCCTAGATAATTGGATAGGTAAATTAGATTTTAATGATAAACTCTCCTTTCTTAACTTTAGATTCTATTTTCCCGCCCGCGCCCGTTTACTTGAAGTATCCGTATAAATATCACTACTTTATAACTGGCAATGGTAATATCCAAGCATTCGAAATTTCAAAAATGTGAAACTAGTGACTAGAAAAATAAATTAGCAAATAAAATCTAGTTTGCTAGAGGATAAAAACCTCTTTAGGTAATCTCAACGTAAAATCATTTTTAATCAATTGAGCATTGACAAATTTTAGTTTGTCAGCTTTATTCTACATAGTATTAATAATTGTATTTGACTCGCAATTTGAGTACCTTTTTATATTATCGTACTCTGTGACCTTCCCCATACTTGATTCAGACTATGATGTTGTCCATACAATTTGTCCGAAAATTTTGCTGTGATTGAGATAACATCTGCCTTTTATTATAGTTCCTTGTCTCGCAAGACACTTTGAACGAATGTCAAAAACCTACCTATTAACTCTTAATAGGTACTTTAAGTTTAGGCAAATTAAACACCCAGTACCTTCGCAAGTCGTTAAACTAAACTAAAATAAAAAATAGATGATAAAAATATAATTTAATACAACTTAAATAAGTAAACAAAACACAAAACAATTTCTCAGCTAACCTGAGATCGTTTAGGGCAGCAAGGGCTTTTGCATGGCGCCGCTGGGGGGTTGCCACTGGGACTTTTAGGCCAATATGCGTCCAAAATGATGGGACCACAAGTGATACATACAACCGCAATGAGCGCCGACATGCAACTCATGCAAATGAACATATTTATTATTTCCGAAGACACTTGAAAAACTTTTGCATTTGAAGCTGTTGATAGCAGACTGGAACGCACGCAAGGAACGTGGCTGAAGCGATCAGGGCGTACAAGGAGAGGCAAATCATTTTTCACACGTCCTGCCACCTGCAGCCACCTTATTTTTATGTTTAGAGATCTCTTCAACAGCGGAGCTGACGGCTGCTCCTGGAGAGAACTGAAGCAAAGTGTCGAGGGGCTTCGGGAAACAAGAGACGTAGCTCGTACAGGTACGCCACTAATGTGCAGGTAGTCCCTCGACCATTACTGAAACAGAGCAAAACACATCAAATAAAAAAGTGAACTTGAGCTGTGAACTAAAACTTTATATCAAAAAACTTGTTGTAAATTAAGTACCTACACGTAGTAAAAATAATAAAGAAAATATGCAAACATTTATCGGTTCAAAGGGTAGAAATAAACAATGGATGATAGGTATGGATGTTATGTAAAAATCTTTTGGTCATGAAAACATTTGAACATGAAAATCATACTGACCACGGTATTAATATACCAAGAAGTTGGTGACGTGTGCGCCTTCGAGTAATTTGAGGCGCCCAAATCAGGCGTCAGGGATTTGCCTATTCAAACAAACAAGTAAAATTAAAGCACACATAATTTCATTGGGTTTCTATAAATCACAAATTTTCACACAAAATTTAAGACATGACAATTTTTGATTGACATTACCATGCGATGTCAACATTTGAAATTTTCTGTTCTGCGAGCAGTGTGTTGTGTTTGCTGCCAGTAAATTAATTATATGTTAAACTTCTTGAATAGATTTCGTCTCACTTAGTTTCAAAAAAAATGTAGACAAATATGCACACACGATCTATTTATTTATTTATTTATTCTTTATATATAATTGAATATCGGAGGACTTAATGCTAGAAGCTTTTCTGCCAGACAACCTTTTAGTAGTGCAAAGATATTTGGTAGGTGATATACAGCAATTTAGGAAGTTACGCGAGGTGGAGGTGTAAATCAATTCTAGGTTACATACATAAAAATAATATAAACATATATAAATATATAATTGCATTAATTTACATTAAATATAAACACTTATACTCAAGATATAAATAAATACTACTACTAATAATATAACGAGGACAATCTATAATCCAAGTGGGGAAACTACCATCATTTTGCCTATGTATTCACGCACCCTACGCTTGAAACACAACCGGCTGGTTGCAGCTCTGATATCCGAGGGAAGCTTATTCCACAAGGAAATGGCTTGTATGAAGAAAGAAAAATGAGTATAGTTAGTGTGGTGCGCAGGGACATGCAAAAGTCGATTGTGCGAAGAGCGCAGACTTCTAGTATGGTTGTGGCACACGTACTGGAAATATGAAGATAAATAGTCAGGGGAAGAGGAAGAGTTGAGAAGAGTAAATAAAGTTGTGAGCGCCCTTAGCTCTCTGCGTTGACGGATAGGCAACCATTTCAACAATGATCGCTACTAACTTATATACGTTTTTATGTTAGACTGTGAATTGATGCACAGTTTACATGAAGCCAACACATGTGTGTGGCCCATTAGGGCCTATGTCCAGCCGGGGTTGCAGGTGCAAGCGAAAAATTGTTATTAGTCAGTAAGAGACAGACGCTGCCTCGCACCCTAACCCTCACCTAGCTCCGCAGAAGTCATAAGAAGATTCCTGATGATGAGATGTATTTCCTTCAAAAAGAAGAAAAAGTTTACAAGAAGCTAACACTGCCTTGGTATTTACCTTGTGTTTTTCAAGTTAAGGTAGCACTGGCTGGCAACGCTCTATTTTTCTAGCCGGAGGCCCAATCCTTCCCCTCCTCATCCCTCCATAACCCAGGGATTTTAGGGAGATTTAGGAATCTCCAAATCCCTTATCCCCAAAAGGTCGGCAACGCACTCGTAAGTCCTCTGTTCTTGCGGGTATCCATTTGCGGCGCTGATTGCTTACCATCATGTAATCCGTCTGCTCGTTTGTCGACCAATAACATAAAAAATGGTGCAGGCACGTATAGACGCATCTTGCCAGTAGTAGACTGTACTGTGTGTATCTACGTTGTTTTTGGCGAAAAATAAAATGAATATGAATATCTTTTTTTTAAAAACGATTTCACCCACGCCTGATTATCCCGTGCCGTGGGTACAAGCATATTGCTTTCTGTGTGTGCGCTTGCGCAAAAATAAATGTTTTATTTCTTTCTTTCAAACATCACACTTACATCCAGACCCGAAACAATAATTTCTGGATCACACCAAGAGTTGTTCCGTGCGGGTATCGATCCCGCGAAAACACGTTACACGGCAGCCGGTTGCCCAGCCATTGCGTCAACCTTGCAGTCAATCTAAATAATTATTAATTTCACTTTCACATCCATATCATTTTATTTAATTGATTTAAAATTACAGCAATAGTAATACTATTTACGTGTTCCTTAATTTTCAATCATTTTTGTTATATTCAGTTGCTAAATCTAGACTTCTAGCTTCAAAAAAGTGTGAGTGTGATTTGCGTGCAGTACCATGCTACTAACACTAGCGATCTCAAGGCAGGGGGTAGCCATAACACTATCAAACCTCCGATAGGAAAGGCATTTGAAGAAGAAAAGTATAGTCTGAAACTGTAAAAAGGTTACATTCTTTTTAAGAAGAAATAAGAAAAAATCATTGAAGGAAATTAAAATTTAGAACCATCAATGTCAAACTGGCATACCACTAGATCGTGATTTGTTCGTGTTACAAGCTCTCCGAAAAAAATCTTATCCACCATTCTACAAAAGGAAAAAAGCTTATGTAGGAATTTAGGACAACGATAGGCAATATAATATTGCCAATATATACTCATAGGAATAATAAATTGTGTATAAATGAGACTTTGGGTGTGTTTGTTGCTGACTTGTGCGTCAGTGTGGGGGTTCCCGGAGAGGAGATCGGCCGAGAAGCAGCCTGACTTGCCGCAGCTAGCCCAGCAGTTGCAGGGCAGCAAGGACAACAGAGTCAGGGAAACCCAACGGGATTGCAAAGGGAAGTGCGCCTCCAGTATAGCGCAGAAGGCTGCTGCAGAGGCGAAGGCGGCACAGGCGGCACAAAACGCTGCAGGAGCACAAGCGGCTCATATGGTAAGTCGTTTTTGTAATTAAGCAGAATTCTCAAAGGTAGCACCAGTCTAAGCTAAGTTTAACTTTATTGCTTAGCGCCTATTAGAAACACAAAAAATAATATGTAATATCGTTTATACGAATTACGTTCTGTATTGAAATGTTTCTGGTAAATATCTGATTTACAGACAATGTGAAACAGGTATAGTAACTATTCGCCCCTAAGGCTACCCACTGACCCTATCGTGAGATTTACTTTTTGATCAAAGTGACGGTGTCGTAGAGCCTATTTTAGGCTGGCCGCATACACACGTTTTACGTATTCGATTTCCTAATGCGGAATTTCGATTTGGAATTCCGTGAGACTAGCGCAAACGTTCGTTTTTCTTCATTCGGAATGTATACACGTCAGTATAGATAGTGATAGCGTAGTGAACGCACGACGATGGAGGACGACGATTTATTAGCAATTGCATTTCTGTTGACAATAAAGAAGAAAAAGAAACGTCGGTATTGGGTACATCCATTGAATACTCGGAGAATCTACGAGAGTTCGTTTTATCTGAAGAGAACTAAGTTACGAGCACACCCAGATAAATTCTTTGATTTCTACAGGATGTCAATAAATTCTTTTGATGAACTTCATAATGGCATACGTGATAAATTAATAAAGCAAAATACCTCCATGAGATTATCCTTGGATACAGAAGAAAAACTAACCGTAACCTTGAGGTAAGTTCTCTTTATTTTTACATCTATATTTACAAAAATAACAAATCAACTATCTTAGTTAAACTTTAGGTATTTGCCAATATTATCTTACTGTTCTTGTCCTTGAGATTGTACAACTAAAAAACTTGCAGCTTCGGTATCTTCGGCATGTTGAAGATTAGGTGATGTGTAGTGATGACGTGGTGGTTGAAGCGGTGGCAGATGTCTAAATAGAGTTAATAACCACTCTGGAATTGTTTGGGGCAGATTGATAATTAGTGATTTTATTTTGCGAAGAAGATGTACTAATAAAGGTGGGCAATGGAGTTTCTGGTACAGGAATATATGAAAAAGAGGGGGAATAATCACGGCTTGATGCCGGCGTTTCTGAACGGTGACTGAAGTTATCATAACTCAGTGAAGAAGATGGAGATGAATTGTACTCAGTATTGATTTTTTTTACCAACTGCAACATTCCCAATTTAAAATCAATTTTTTGATTTTCATTCATATGTTTCATATGTGTTCTAAAGCTCAATAAAAATTTCATGTCGTCGTCTTCTACTTCTTGTTGTTTCTGATTGGCTTTCTGTTGATTTTGATGTAGGATACTGAGTATTTGGGAGGGGATATCTTTTTTGTTTCGTTTTAAACTACTTGCAGGTGGAGTTGATACAGGTGATGGAGGTTGTAATATATTTGTATGGTGATCTATTTGTTCCACGCTGTGTTCTTGCGTTTCAGATTCTTGTGAACTATTATTGTGTAAATCATCGAATTGATAGTTTCCTTCGGTATTTCTTTTATCGAATACGGTATAAGAAAATACAACAGGTCTGCATAAACATATTTTTTAACCTTTTTAGCGGCACTGCCTGTAGGAGCGCTTTTATTTTTTTGAAAGTCTCTTCGAAAGTAGTCTCTTATGTGTGTCCATTTTTTCTTTGCCTCAGCACCTGAAATGTAATTAATATTATTTTATATCTTTTTTTTCAGATTCCTGGCAACGGGTAAAAAATTTGAAGAGTTACACTTTGAATATTTGATGGGGAGCAGGACCGTATCAGCCGTAGTTAAGGAAACCTGTACAGCAATATGGGAAGTTTTTCAACCTTTGGAAATGAAGCCACCATCTTCAAAAGAACGTTGGCTAGAAATTGCTGAAAATTATTATAGAAGAACCAATTTCCCTAATTGCGTAGGTTCAGTGGATGGGAAACATATTCGTTTGATTTCTCCTCTGCATAGTGGATCTGCCTTTTATAACTATAAACATTTCTACTCTGTTGTACTATTAGCAGTGGTAGATTCTGACTACCGTTTTATAGCTGTAGATGTCGGTGCTTATGGCAGAGACAGCGATAGTAATATTTTTAACAACTGGAATTTTGGAAAAAGTTAATTCAAAATCGTCTTAATATGCCTGAAGCAAAACCTCTGCCGAATACCAATGACACACCACTACCTTTTGTGTTTCTTGGCGATGAAGCGTTTCCACTGAATAACAATTTTATGAAACCATATCCGAGAAGTAATCTCAATACCCAACGCAGAATTTTTAACTACCGCCTCAGCAGATCACGACGTGTAGTGGAATGTGCCTTCGGTATTCTCTCGAATAAATGGAGAATTTTTCACACTAGCATGACGATTCCACCAGAATTTGCAGTATTAGTAACAAAGACTGCGTGTGTGTTACATAATTTTGTACGCAGACGAGACGGCTATCGATTTGAAGATACTCTGACACATTACTTCGAAGATATACCTTACCGTAGTCCACAACACAGATCCACAAACCGAGGTCGAAACATAAGAGACAATTTTGCTGAGTACTTTATGACACCGGCAGGGGAAATATCGTACCAATATAACGAGAGAATTAATAATTTACAAGAATAAATGTGGGCACTATTGTATTAAAAAGTATATAGAAAATATCTTACCTTTGTTTTCTTTGTCCACTTTAGTGCACGTGTCCCAATCCTTTATAACCTCTTTAAATACATTCTCCCAGGCCAAATCTTTGACATCTTTGTTGTGATAGTCATTGTCATGAATATTCCACAGGCAGGGGTATTTTTCAACAGCCAATATTAATGTTTCTGCCTCACACATTATCGTGTTGCGATTCTATGCGTAACAAATACAAAGAATACGTCCGATGCGCGCGCCGCGGGCGCAAAACTGAATAGAAATTTCCGAACGTGTGCGCCGGCACAAACAAAATGTATGCAAGCGCTGCGTTCCGCATGACGTCATTAGGTTTTTTCCCGTACGTTTCTCCGAACGCGCCGGCTTGCATTCGGAATACACGTTCGGATTTTGTTCCGTACGGAAAAAAAACGAACGTGTGCGTCAGTTAATGTATTTTATATTGAATCTATGCATTCGGATGCCCGCATACGGAAAACGAATTCGGAAACCTAATACGGAAACCGTATGTCTGCGGCCGGCCTTAGTTACTTCACGTGAGTAAACTAAAATTGGCTCTGCCATAGATTGCGCGACGTGGTCGCAACGTACTAGCTGCTAAAGAATAAGTCCGATTGTTTCTTGAAACTAGTAGAGCTTTTCTTAATTAAATCGCGTAAGTTATTCATTTTCAATAAAACGAGAAAATAACTCACTAAATTGCTTAAAATTTCAAAAAAGGTAAAAAAAATGATTTCGACATCTTTTGCAAATTTGATTGACAACGTCAAAAATTTTACATTAAACTGTCATATTTGGATGTAGAATTCTCCATAATGTATTCTGTTCTCTACAATTGTTTTCCTACAGGTCAAAACTCAACTGGCAGAGAAGGCACTTCAGGCAGCTAAGGCAGCTGAGGCGGCACTCGCTGGCAAACAAGCTGTAGTAGAACAACTTCAACAAGAAGTGAAGGAAGCTGAAGCAGTTGTTGCAGAGAATACAGCGGCTGTACATCAACAACAAGGGACTGTAAACGCAGCTGTGCAAGCCGCACAGCAGGCTACTGCTCAGGTTAGCTCTTTATTTTTATCGTTAGTGCTTACTTTCATTTTAGATCGGTTCCAAGTTTTTATCCTTACCTATTTGCGATTAACATCGCCACATTTTTTTCCACTCAATGAAAGAAATGAACAAGTTCGCTGCCTATCAATGAAATTGTGACTTTCAAAATTTTTTGGTCTACTTGTATCTTCAACAATTCCTACCCGACCGAACGAAAAGGAATTCAAAGTTTTACGAAGTATTTAACAATTTATGGCGAATTCATTGCGGTTACTACCATTTATTTTGAATATTATAATTCCAACGTTACTTGGTAGTAATTGTTGAAGTGCCTCATTTGCTGAATTGATACTTCGTAAAACTTTGCTTTCTTTTTCCACAAGGTGCCAAACCCGAAGACTTCGGCAGTTTCAAGAACCTTTTTATAACCTACACCAAGAAAAATATCTTCTATAAAATGATCTGCATGTCATTGTGTACTTTTATCATAACAGCCGCGGCATTGTCTTGTGTTCCTGTCTGCTACAGGGCATATACAGGGTCATTATTAACATGTTTATGTACCGGTGGCGCCAAAGGAAAGAAAAAGTAAAAAAAAACAATAATTAGAATGGTGGATAAACGTGTATATGAACCATAATCAAATGTTTTCTGGAAATATACAAACCTATATATCTATTTTGTCCTAGTTTTTCTTTTATTCGTAGTTAGCCTAGTAGTTTGGTCATTCCATTTATTTCTAAAAATATTTAGTTCATTATTATTCATCTTAAGTTTAGAATGTCATATCTTGTCATCTATTCATTTTATTTTTCAGCCTGCCACTAAGCGATAAATTATTGCAACCCTCTTTTTCTTTTCACACTTTGCAGCATAAACTTATGGTACAAGCGACGCAGTTAGCTGCACAACTTGAAAAGTCAGCTCACTGTGTTTTAGAGAAGACTAAGTTCGGATTACAAGAGAAATGCCATAATCTGTCAGAGGCCCGAGCAAGACTAGCACATTTGCAACACAAACTGCAATGCGCCTGCGCTGAATGTGCTGCGACCAAGCAGGCTGCTCACTGTGCTTGCGAAGCGGCGCGTGCTGCCTGCGGCAACGCGCGTAGGAAGAAACATATCGCCAACCAAATTGCTGTAGAGCCGAAAGACAGCAAACGAGGTCGATGATTGAGCAAATAAGGAAAGTATGGTTAAGTGATTAAAACATCAGATCAGAGTCGGAAATTCTGATTTTGTGGCGGAGTGTAGAAAAATTGTAGACCAGATTACCACCTTCGCAAATAATCTTTAACGCTGTTATATAATTTTTGTAAAATTTATTGGCAGCGTTACAGAGCAACACTAACTACTTATTTTGGGTTAAGAACTCAAGAAATGGTCCAACGTCCTTAGGGTACATTTTTTCTGCATTAGACGGAATTTCCGACAAGTACAAATTGCCAGCTTTAAATCCGCCACTTAAGCTGAGTGGAGGAGATTGATACTAGTTCCATCATTTAATATGAAAGTGGTTTAAATGCACTAGCTGTCTATTACAATGATAACTAGCTAAATAATTGTCTCCACCTGTACGTTTTGGTTCCTTTGAAATAACTTGTTTTGTATCATTTGACTGACGATATCGAACTATTTCTGAATAATGCCTGCGAGGATTGGCGAAAAATTTTACTGAAATATCTTTATGTGTATTTATTCCCAAAGAAATGGGTCAGGTCCTGGTGGCCTTACTGGGATTTTATTAGTTTTAACGTCCGTTTTCTTAATATAGGTAAGTTGTTTTTCATTATAGGTAGAACAGATGCTATTATTTCCTTTCCATTGTCTCCAATAGAGTGCAAGCTTCTAAAAATGAATTACAATGGCAGCTTTTGCATTTCATTTTTAAAGGAATGTGAATACTCTCTTACCGGATGCTTCATTTTCAAGAATGCGTGGATTGAGATGAATTTACGATAATTTTGATTAGTTCTATTTACTTTAGTTTTTTTAATATTGTGTGTTAAGATGTTCGACGTATAAGCTTTTGATATGATGGATTTCGTTTAAGCTTCTGTTAATATAGTTGGGATTAGGTAATACAAAGTTGTTTTATTTTACTACTTACCAACCCACCACCGCCATTTCGTTGTTCATTGCCATCATATTTTCAATGTCCCTTTTTATTGCTAGATTGCTACCGTTTTTGGTTGAAACCACTTGTGTGTAAAGTCAAGTTTTATTATTCACCTCTCGACCATATCCCTCTTTGAAATAGTCATCTACAGGTGAACAAAACGCAATGTCCTGGTCCCTGGTACTGTTCCTTGGATAGATAATGTTGTCAGCCAATAAGTAATAATAGCTACCACTAGTTGTCGATAGGCACATTTCTTAGTACACGTGGGAAGATTATATTTAGCACTACTGCTGCTGCTGCGCACGTACAGAGCGTAGGAAATATTGTAAAAAAAAGCATTTGTGGTGCACCAGGCTGCCACAGTCGCCGGGGTTCGAGGTAAGCGCAATGAGGCACCAAGACCTCGGCCCAAAACAGGAGAAGGAACATGGGGTTTTTAGTCAGTAAGAGTCTGACACTCCCTCCCGCCCGGCCCTGGGCAGGAGAAGTCATTTGATGATTTTCCCCTCGCAAAAAAGGGTGCCACAGTGCGCGCGTATAGAGGTATGATTCCTACCAGTACCACTACCAGTCCAGTACTGATGCTGCATATCTGCTAAGGTGCTTCCTAGCAGGTGATCCTGAGCGTATCGAGGTGATCCTGAACAAAGCGGCAGTGACAGATATCTATATTGACGTAGGAATAATGAATGTGCAAAAAATTGCCGACTATTCATATGCGTGTGAATTGAGATCCTATTTGAAGAACTCTTCCTAATCCCAACCAAATTATAAAAGCATTTATTTTGCAGCAATATATATCTCTATCTCTCTTGTAGTTATTTTAATGAAAAGGTGGCTCCTCAAATTAAACACCTGGATTAAGGAGCCACCTGGAACACGTTTAATAATAGATGGCTATTTATGAAAATTTGTGTATTATTTAGCAACAATTTTGTATATTACCGTCTAAAAATGTTGCTTCAGTAAGCCCTAAAATGAATGCTTGAAATAAAATGAAAGAAAATACTATACTTTTAATATGGCTACTCAAAATCTAGGATTCGTGCTGCAAAATAGGCTAGTATTGCTGCTAAATAATGGTGAAACCGGATTTTAAAAATCTGATGTGTCTCCTGAATCCTGGATAGCTTGGTAACGTATATTCTAGATTTTTTGCATCAGTATCAAACATCAGCCAGTGAAAAGCTATACCTGTGTTTTCGACATTTGAGGCCCCTATACCTACCATACATAAGAAGGTCTTACTAGGCCCAGAGTGGGGGAGGAGACAGGCGCTCAGAAAAGACAGGCAGTGATTTTTAGCAAGTTTTAAATTCAATTGACTTCGTCTTCAATTTTAAATTCAAAATTAGATTATTATTATTTTCGAAAAACAACAATGGCAGACCATTGTCTAGTGTTAGACATTACTGCAGACAGGTACGAAGCACTAAAAATAAATTTTTAAGTAGTTTACCAGATTTGTCTGATATGTTTTATTTAATAGGGTTTTAAAAACCTATATTCACCAAGGCAGCCGTTTCCATTGAGTACTCCCTCCAGCAGATAACAAGGCGTACGGGGTACACACATGACACCCTAGTCATGTGTAGTCACCTACGTAAAATTATTTGTAACCCACGACACAGCAGAAAATCCTAGCGTGGGGCTACGTTTAAAAAAGAAAAAAAGTATGTTTTTTACAATTATATTTATTTTAATAATTTAAATCATAACAAGCAGTTCTACTAATACCTTAATGTCTAGTTTTGGGGATCGTATCTACAATTCAAACCTTTTTACTTATTTTATTACTTCTCCACCATCCTTAACAATACTTTGTCTAACTTAGAATACATTTTAAATAGAACGGTGGATTAGGTATTATACTGGTTGTACAAAGAGACAATATATTTTTTTTCTTAAAAACTTATAAGCTCTTTTTGGATTGTGTAGTAGTGAACGGCCAATTTCACAGGTAGCCGATAAATTGGTTGATCCTGATGGCGATACGTGGTCTCTTAACGAAAGGACATTGCGTTTTTCACAATGTGTGGATTTAAGATAAAATAAGATAAAAGATAAAATAAATTTATTCGATACTAGCTTCGACCCGCGGCTTCCGTTAAAGTACAATTTAGCCTACTTATAGCACTCAGGAAAATTGTAGCTATCTATCTGTGAAAGAATTTTGGAATTCCGACCAGTTTTTGCAAAAAGATATGAGACTCCCTATATACAGCCTACTTTTACCTGTTTATAATATTAGTATACACTTGGATGCCTAAATGAGTCTGAATGTTAAAAATATTTTAGGGGAAGAATGTTTTGTGTTGAAAAGAAGACGCACATGCCACAGAATCAACAATTAGATTAAAATTTAGTTTTTACATTTCTTTGGTCGACCATCTTAAATCGTCGTCGGCTTAAATCGGAAAATTTGCGGATGGAAAGAACTGAATATCGAGCTCAGTGATGCAATTGGAGAGGCCTATGTCCAGCAGTGGAAAAACCCTTGAAATATTTCGTTTACATTTAGGGTAGTTTGCCTGTGAAACTGGCCATAAATATTATTAAAATTTCCACAAGTTTTCACGTTATGAGTAATAATATTTTTTCTACTGTGCTAACAGTCTGTGATTATTTTAGAACAATAAAAGTTAACTTTTTGTTAATAGACCAAAAAATAATAATAATTTAGTAAACGGCAATTGCAATAAAAGAAATATTTTTCAATAAAAGAAATTTCAGTAAAAGAAATTATACTACTTATTAATAAAAATAAGATAAGACAAGACAAAAATATCTAAATCCGTAAAAATACTTTGCGAAGGAAAGAAGTAAATTAGATTACTTATATTTTTTTCGGAAAGCGTTTTCACGGATTATTATGCACTAGGCAGTGCAAAGCTTATTCACACACATCCAATTACGATTTCTTTGTAAAGATACAAATATTGCAGTCTTTTCTGTCTACACTTTCCATACGACCTTATTTTAGTGCCAAATAAATAAAACGAATCTTTTAAAACTAGTCAACTATACTGAAGGCGTCATTAAGATTTTGCGGACTGAATGCCATGTTGCTGTGTTTGTAGTTGGAGTACGGTGAGTTGTTAGCCGATAGCGCCACGTCAGCACCAACATACCCATGTTGAGCAGTGAACGAGTCCTCGTCTTCATCATCATCATACATTGGTGAATGAGGAGGTAGCTTTGCAACGTACCTCGCCGGAGGCTCAGCGTACTGTCCACCAACAATAATTTCATCGTCAAACTCTTCTTGCTTGTTTGGTTTCCAGGGTTTGTTAAGTACCTTAGAATCTGTGAAGAAAAATGGACGCTTTTTCCTGAAGGCATATTTGCTTTCCTGCCTCACTTGCTTATCTGCAACGTTTGACTCCATAGCATCTTCATTATAATCTTTAGGCGTAGGAGTGACGAAAATGTGATCGTCAGCGTAAGATGGCTTCTTTTTCGTGTAAGCATAGTTGGAGTCAGGAGATTGAGTATGCTTAGTCCATTGGTATTCATGTCTGTTGTAGCCATGAATGTCATAATGTTGCGACGTTTCCTGGAAGCTCTGTGGAGTAGAGTAAATGTCACCAATACTGGCTTTTAGAGGCGCTCCGTAAGAATCGACGGGTGGTTCCCCGTAACTTTGTTTTTGGTCTTGGTGATCTTTTGCATGCACCACAGGCGGTTCCCCAAAACTAGGCTTTTCAGACACAAAGAAGGAATAATGAGGCATCTTAACAATATGTCCAAAAGATGGTTTGTTGTTAGGTCTCACTTTACCCATACTATAATTAGATTTAGGTTTGGATGCTCGCTTTCTGTGTAAGTTGGTTATATGTTTATTGTTTGACTTATGTGCTCCATATTTAGAAGTAGCCTTCGAACTTCCCTTGCGTATTTTCTTTGGGGGTTTCCTTGAAACTTTCGGAGGCCTGTACTTTGGCTTAGGTGGTGCATACTTTGATTTTGGAGGTCCATATCTCTGCTTCGATATTCTTCGGTAAATTACTTTAGGCTTTTGGAATATTCTGTCAAGCGGATAGTCTTCTAGTATTAATGTTGCTTCTCTTTTACTAATTATTCTTTTACCGTCTTGTGTTTCTCCTATTTCGGTATCCTGTTCTTCTCCCGCGGCGCATGCTGTGACTGTTATCTGGAATGAAATAAAAGTGAATTTAAATATTTGAAATGTTTAAATAAGGTTTCGTTAAAACTAAACTCGTCTCAATCCTAAATCGATTATCATTTCACAGTTGAGTTAGTTAGTAGTTTCAAAATATAGCCTAACAACAACATTGGTTACACCAACTAAAAGCAAATAAAACATCATCTTCAAGAAAAAAATGTAGTATTTTCTAAACCTCTTCACCAAGCTAGGCGTTGATTCATAGTACCTCTGTATTGTTATGTATAAATGTTATTATTTATTTCTTTCTTCTTCATCTTTCATACATACAGATATTTCAAAATGAAGCTACAAATCAATGTTTTTGTTATATTTTTTTGCTTCATTGTGATCAGTCCCAATATGGTGT